GGTTTAATGAAGCCGTGGTGATGCCAAATATTAGAAGCTAGTGTGGTTTGAATGTCATGTACCGAACATTGGGCTGAGTTATCCACACAGAACAGAAGCCTCCTGAGGGCAGGGACCTCATCTGTTTTATTCACTGCTGTCCATCTGGTGCCTGGAACAGCGCCTGGCATGTGACGGTATCTCACTCCATCCTTATAACTACAGTCACCTGTAGCTTAATGACAGGGAGATGTTCTGAGAAATGTGCCAGTGGTGAGTGTATCTGGTATGAACATCACAATCTAGATGGCGGAGCTGCGCGCCAGAGGCTAGAAGGTAGAGCCTGTTGGGACCCCGGTTGTATATTCAGTCTGTCATGGATCTAAATGTTGTTAAGTGATACACAACTGTATCCTATGAGGTAAGTATGATTACTAGCCCAAGGTACAGATGAGGAGACTGAGGCCCAGAGAAGTGAAATGACGCGAAGGAGTCATATAAATGTAACCTATGAGTTCGGAGGGCAGGCTTTCTGGATTTGAATTCTAACTGCTTCATTTCATAGCTGCCTTTCACTTAATTTTTCTAGATGTAGCTTTTTCATTGTAAAATGGGGATATTGGTAGAGGCTCCCTTGAAAGCCATGAGACGACACAGCTGAAGAATGCGGTGTAGTGTTTGGCACACAGTAAGTGCTCAGGTAGCATGAGTTGTTGCTGTTCTGCGAGGTTTCAAAGGGAGATGAGACCAGGAGCTCCCGAGTATGCAACTCTGCTCCAAAGTCCATGTCTGCATCTCTACTCTCTATTGTCTCCTCCTGTTCACAGATTTCATGAGACTATATTTTAAGGCCCCCAAGGTCTGCTCTTTTCTTTTGTTGTGGAATCTATGCAAGTCTTTGCTGGCAAGGAATATGTGAGCAATTAGGTCGAGCTGGAGGCAGAAGGAGGAAGACAGGAATCTGCCCTTCTTGTCTTGCTTCAGTTTTGATCAGCCCACTCAGTGTCCCCCTCCAGTTAGAGGAGACTTAACAGAGGACCCCACAGAACTGGGAAGGGGCTTGGCCAAACCTTCGGGCCACCAGACTCTGTGTCATCTAATCTGTTCTCCACACTATCAGTGTAAACTTCAGAGACTGAAGCCATGATTAATACCAGCTCCCCTTCCTCCCAATTGGGTTATATACTAAAGTCATTTCCCTCCCTGAGCCACAGTTTTCCCATTTGCACAATTTTGACAATAATTGCATCTACCTCAAAAAACTGTTTTGTGGATCCAATGGAAAAAAAATTCTATATAAAGTATGTGACAGTGCCTGCAACAGAGGGTATTTTCTTTACGCTCCATTCATCAGTCATCTCAAGCTGGTAAACTCCTACTCATCCTTCAAAGCCCAGCTCAAATGTCCTCTTATTTGTAAGGCTGTCTCTGACAACAAGTTACATTGCTTGGTCCCTCCACTACACATTGTACTTGTTTCCATCACTGTCAAGGGTGATATTTAAAATATTTAACAACTGATTGAGTGTTATGCTACCCCATCACCATGTAGCTGGCTTTAGCACTGAAGGACTGCCATGTATTACTCTTTAGTTGTATGAAGATCTAGAAGGTACCAGCAGAGGGAAGGGATGGCTAAGTTGATTGGGAGCTGGGGGTGACAGGGTCTGTTTACTAACTGGGCACAAGTATTTGAGTATTTTAACAGCTGTTGGAAGTACTGGTGCTCACCCACTCAATCTCCCGCCTAATTACAACTCTTATCTCACTGTATGACAGCATTCTGTTGACTGCTAGACCATGAGTGCTGGAGTTCAAGAAGAGTGTTTTGTTCAACTGTCTGTCTCCCCAGTACCTTGAACAGAGATGGTTAAGTGGAGAAAAGGAACATGAGTGAGCTGTGAAGGGTCCCTAAACTGTCTCCTCGGGATTTGCCATTTGGATTTAGGTCCTGACCAGGCAAGAGGGCTTCAGGTTATCTTTATCTCACCAAGCAAGATTTCAATAAGACAGGAACCCAAATTTTGCATATTCATATATGCAAATATCCCCCTTGATCTAATGCTCTTGATTTTTAAAGAGCTTGTGCATATGAAATACCAGCAATGAAGTGTGGCAGGGACCATGGCATAGAAGACCCTTCACTCCTGTTCATCTCCAGAGCCCCAGCTTTGCCCTGGAATCTATCACCATCCCAGACTCCAATCTTTATTTCCCTGGAAGCTAACTGCTGCTCACCTTTAGTTTCCCAGCTAGTTGTCATCTTAGCCCTAACCCAACCCTGGTCTCCTTCCCTGCCTGCTTACCTTTCACTCCACCTCAACATTTCCACATTAGTTGTTGAGTATTGTGCTTGATGGTTTTATCTTGTCTGTGTCTCATCAGAAGGCACAGACTGTTTCTGTCTTACTCACTGGATTCTAAAAGCCACATCAGAACCTGATCCTTTATAGATGTTCGATAGACACTGGTAGACTTGAATGAATGACTGAAGGGTGAGTCACTGAAAATGACTTTGCTGTTCTTTCTCTTTAACAAAGGACGGAAGGAAACCAGAAGCAAGGGAAGAAGGGGCCCCTGCTCTCATACCGACTCATCCCAATTAGCCTGAACCGGGAACTACACTACAATAGCCACCACTGTCACTCATGTTACCACTATTTCTGCTGTTAATACTATTGCTGGTACTATCGTTAGCAGCCAACATTACATAACAGTTACCACTTGCCTGTTACAGTCTACAAGTTTTACTTCCACCAAGTTATTGAATCCTTATGACATCTCTCTTAGGAGGTAAGTCTTAATATGATCCTCGTTTTGCAAATTTGGAGGAAACCCAGGCACAGTGCATGTATGTCACTTGCTTGGGGTTCCACAGCTCGTAAGGCAGAGTCAGCATCTAGAACGCCATCCTTATAACACCTGCCATCCTGCTGAACTTTGCCCCGTGTCAAGCCTGGGCTCACCAGTTTACATTACTTTGCTTCTGTTAAACAAGGCTTTTGGAGAAGAGATGAGGAAACTGTTTTTTTAACAGATAAGAAAAAGGCTTAGCTAACTATCCGGAGCTCAGAACCGGCACATGGCTGCATTATTGTAATCCTATGACTTGCCAGAGCCCATGAAAGTCATTTCTCTGCTAAGAGCCTCAGTTTCTCCTCTTGCAGTCAGGATGTTGAACTAGGTGAGCTCTTAATGCCTCTCCTTCCTAGGGACAGGTGAGCTTCCCACTCTTCTGCTTGGGGTTGGACCTTGGGAGGACATCGGAATTTCCAGAATCAACAACCAATCTGGGATCTCATGAGCTGCTGTGGAAGGACCATCCATCTTTGGTTTGGACAACACTCAACTTTTTAGCAACATCTAGACAGACGGGACCTGTTATCCATCCTAGGCAGGTGAGAAAGCAAAGGCCCATTGCTCCCAATGCCACTTTTTAGTGAGGCCCTGTTTGGCCATGGTCACCAATACCCATGACCAGGGCGATTAGGGGGTTTCCTAACTTACACACGTTCTTTCATCTCTTATTGAGTCATGTTTTAAATTTGTTTCTACCCTTGCTAGGGAGACCAGCCCTGGGATAGTTATGCACACTTGCTAGTTGAAGAAGCTGAGGCTGGGAGGAGTAAAAGGTTAGGCCTGCCAAGTCAAGATTCGAACCCAGGCCTCCAGACTCTGCTATTCCGAGACCTTTCCGAGGGCATTCTGGGAGGAGAAAGACTGCAGATGGGCATTCCATCTGCAAATCCTCTGCAACCACAGGCATCTCTACAAAGGAGGGGCTGGGGAGAGTTGTGGATAGTTTCAGGCGGGTAGAGGACATGGACAATATTAGACCTTGGTGATACAGGGTGCTTGACAGGTAAAGAACAGTTTCCAGAATTCACTGCAAACAACTATTGTGTCAACCATGCCCAGCCATTGTTTAACATCTCATTCTCTTCCTTGACCTTCCTGTAAGCCCTCCTGGACTTTTCCTTACTTCCATGCCATCCTGTCTATAGGAGCAGCTCTCTGAAATTTTCAGATTCACCTGTAGCTGGTGGAGACAGGTCCCTCCCCCGTTGTCAGCTGTGACTGCAGACTTTGGCAATGCAGACTCTCATATTTGTCTAACTGTCCCATTAGAGTCTACAAAAGGCCTTCCCATGCTTTATCATTTTGGCTACCCCCAGCAACCTTGTATGAAAGTGATATTATTTAAAGTTCACCAATAAGAAAACAGGTTCAAAGAGGTGAAGTCATTTGCCCAAAGCCACTCACCTAGGACATGCAATGCTAGGACTGGGATTTAGATCCAACTATCGGAAACTTCCTAGTGTCAAACTACCCAGCTCCTTCTTCCTGACCCGAGGGAGCAGGACTGGATTCCATTCAAAGCTGGTTTGTAAATTGGATTCGCTTCTTGCTTTGCTTTGTGGCTTTATCCCAGCCCTTAACCTCTCTGAGCATTGGTTTTTCTGTCCCATCTGTGTGGGATGAGTGAGAGCAGCTGCTCTCTCAATTCCCTGAGACCTGGCATGGACACATGTGAGGACACTACGGCTCCTTGAAGGAAAATTCTCATCCAAATGCAAGGCTGTGTTTATACAGGTGAAATCAAATCACAGCTGCCAGTCAATCGTCAATACTGCAAGTTAACTGACAGCAGAGATGCAGACTTCACTGAAAAGCTGGGTGCCTGTTACGTCAAAGACAGCCCCTCCAGCCCCCCAAAAAGAACCACTCGCCTATTGAGTCTCACACATGCATTCCTGCAGATGTCACTGTGGAAACCAATATGTATTTTTCAACATTCCCCTATAAAAGTCTGCGTATTTTAGCTTTTCTCCCTCTTCCAAGCCCAAACCCCCAACCCTAGCGCTGCCATAGGCTGGCGAACGACAACTTGCTCAATCAATACGAGGTCTGAAACCAGTGGGCTAGTTACCCGAAACTGAATTTGCTGCCCTGAACTTGTGCCGCCACCTCCCCTAAGAGCCGTGGCCAAGCTGGCAGAAGAGGCTGCGCAGAATACTTACTACGCTCCTGGACGACAGGAAGCTGAGCTGGAGGGGCTGGCTGGGCAGGTGGCTGGACCGGGCCTCGGGGCTGGCCTTGCAGAGGGTCTTGGAGCAGCGGCCGGAGTGCCTTCGGCGGGACTTCCGCCTTTCCTCGGGGGACCGGCCGCGGTGCCTGGGGGCAGGGGGATAAACCTGAGGGTGTTTTGAAGGGGACCATGACTGAGAGGTGTTGAGTGACCAACAGGATCTGAGGATGCTAGAGGGTGTTTGTATGTTACGTGTGCATCCACTCATGCATCACCCATGCAGCCATCCATCCATCGTCCACCTGCCCATTCATTCATTCTTTCTCTCATTTATACATTTAATAAATGCTTATTCCTGGGTCTGAAACTGTTTTGGGCCCGGGGATGCAGCTGTGAAGGCAGAAAATTGTCTGTCTGTCTGTGTCTGTGTGTGACTGTGTGTCTGGGTCTGTTCATCTGTGTTTTCATGTGTTTGCCTATAAACATCACTGCGTCTATCTGTGTGACTTTGTGTATGCGACTTTACCATCTGTGAAACAGAGACATCCTATTGACAGTCACCCAAACTTTTGGGGAAAAAAATAGCTGACAGAAATGAAGACGATGCTGTCTGCATGTTTGTCAGATGTCGATCTGGCTGCCCTGTCTGTGGTGGAAACTAAAGAAATCTCTGCCTGTTAGCTCTGAGCCACAATCGTAAGGAAAATAACACCTGATGGATTTGTCTGGCACTTGTAAATGCCAGAGGACTTTCGCAGTGCCCTCTACAGCTTGAAGTAAAAGACAGAACAGGTATTACTTTCCCATTGTACAGATGAGGGAGCTGAGGCTCAGAGATGTTTAGGGACTTGCCTGAGGTCACACAGCCAAGGGCAGCATTTTCTGCCCCTGTAGGAACTGATGCCTGTAGTGCCTGTTCTGGAGCAGCCTGTTCTCTGCTATGGGAGAGAACTTTTCTACTAGGTATGAGGTCCGAGGTTGCTTCCTTGATGGCTAGAGAGTCACTCAGCCCAGCAGGCACTGAGGAGCACAGGTGGCAACACCACCAGGAGACTGACAGCAGGAGGGCTGGGGACAGGGGTCTTAGCCTCTTCCCCAAAAGGTGACATTCAGAGAAGGTAGAACCCAGCGCCCTGAGACTCTGTAGGTAGATCCTGCACTATCCTCTGGCCCCGCGGCCAGCAGGGTTAGCTGCCAAGAGCTGATGCAGCTTGGGCTGGAGGCACAGGGCTCCAGCTGAGTCACATGGGCCTGGGCCCCATCCAGGCTCAGCCCGTCACTGTGACCGGGTTCAGTTCCCTCTGCCACCAAGATGCAGTTTTCTCTGCTGGAACACATCAGTAATGCAGTTGAGTTCAGTACACTAATGTCCTCCAGACAAAACCAGCTGGAGCATGCCTGTGGTTGAGCAAGCGTGTTTACTGAAGGAGGGAGGACGCACACCACACGACTCTGGATCTGAGTGTTAGGATGAACCTATTATGGGTCTGTGGCAGGTGACTCAGGGGAGCATTTAAGGGACTGGGGCTTTGCTCTGGATTGGATGCTGTCAGGAAGCAGAGGTAATTCCCTGATGGGGTATCTGCAGATCTTACCCAGAAAGCAGAGACTAGACCAAGGCCAGGATTGGAGCTGGTAAAGAACAGCAGAGGCTCATATATCTAGGACAGACATGCTGGGTTACTTTTGTGGTTCTGGACAATATTTCTGTACTGTCTGGGCTCATGACTGAGTCTTCTTTGTCTTGATTACTTGGGGTCACAGAGTGGCCTGTTCAATATCAAAGATCTTGAAGTGGCTGATGTTTAGCGGAAATACCGAGGCCCAGTATTCCCTTGGCGGTAATGCTAGGTAGCCGGACCACTTTCTCTTTCTCCATTGCTTCTCTCACTTGTCTCCACATTCACACCATGTGGGGAGATTTCTAAGTCTTGCTGCGCTGGACCTGGTGCATCCGAATCAGATCAGAATGTCCAGGCCATGGGGTCTAAGTACTTTCAAAAACTTCCAAGGTGACCCTAAAGTACAGCCAAAGTGGAGAAGCTCTGGTCTTGCTCAGTGGTGTTAATGGGATGAAGTAGACAGAAAATGTATCTGAAATGGTAACTCGGGCAGGGTGGGATTTAGATAAATATTTCTTTTCCTTCTCCTACTCTTCTTCCTTTTCCCCTTAAACATTCTGATTCAACTGGGATGAGGTCAGTCCAGACAGTGAACCCTCCTGACATCCAGGAGCTGCCTGGTACTGTGGGGTACGTCTCCCGTGCTCCTGATAATGTCTACAATTTCAAGCATCGATGTCCACAAAGCCCCAGTTCCTTCTTCTCCTCACCAAGAATCCCACCCACCAAGACTTCTCAGAGTGCAGAGGCCAGGTGAGAGAGACCTGACTTAGAAGGGCCTCCCAACTTGGTGCTTTGTGCTGTGTGACCTTTCACAGATTGCTTGGCTTCTCTGTGCCTCCAGAGACTCGCAGTGACAGTGCCAAGTCCAGAAGCTCCAGTCTCCATCCCAGCCTTGTCACTTAGTAGCTGAGTGTCTAACAAGTTCTTTAGCCTGTCTGTGCCTGCACTTGCTCATCTTTCAAATGCAGAAGACAATAGTACCCACGTCACCATGGGGCCTAGAGGCAAACACTGGAGTAGACACAGGAAGGCTGCTCAGCACCTCAGCGTGGTGCTCCAGGCACTGAGGAAGCAGCTGCTTAGTAAGGACACTTATTATTCCCAAAGTGGAGGCAGTGAGTCCCTTGGTCTGCAGACCTTTCTCTGGAGGGAAGTGACAATGGCCTCCATCTCTCTGCATGGCAGCCTGGGCGGTGGCTGGGCGAGGGCTCTGGGGTGGGGAGGGGGGTCGGGGGTTACCTGCTCCCGCAGCTTGAGGAGCGGGACTCCGAACTCTGGGACCGGGAGGGGCAGCGGTGGTGGCGGTGGCGGTGAGACTTTCGGGGCCGGCTTCGAGATCTTGGAGGGGATGAGAAGGCGCGAGTCAGAGGAGGAGAGATTTTGACCTCGTGATACACGTTTTCCTGTAACACACTAGTCACTGTCCCTCCCAACTCACGCAATTCCCAGCAGCCCCCATGCCCACACCCCCGCCTCCCTCCCCTTCACAGGGCATTGGGGGGTGAGGTGGGGGAGGTTTCTCAGCGAGTGGAAAGGGGTCCCCTGGAGGAGACAGTCCGGGTGACTCAGGGCCTTCCCACCCGCTGGAAGCAGGCCCGAGGAGGCTACACCCACAAAGGGAATGTCGCCTCCACCAGTCACCTCTCCTTCACCCACAGCAGGAGTCTCAAGTTGGGACAGTTTCAGGAGTCAGTCACATCAAGCGTGGCTCAACCAGGCACTGCAATAGCAACCCGAGAGCACGGACTAAAAAAAGTTGTGACTTGGCCCCCCAAATGGGGGCTGGGTGCTGGATCTTCTCCCTTGCAAAGGAATGTAGAAATAGAGATCTTCATGTAAAATTTCGCTATTTTAAAGGGAAGCTCACTATTTTTTTGAAAGACACTGTTGTGCAAATAAAACACATTTACAGAGTGAATTAGACCCTGGATTGCCTGTGTGCAAGCTAAGACCTGGAAAATGAAGTCCAGATTCTTAGCCTGGGGCGAAAAGTCAGGTTCTAGTAAACCACAAACTCACCAGTAACAATGAGAGAACAGCGATGACTACCTCTCACAATGACACACTGTGCTATCATAATGACCGCTGAGAAGTAGCGGCAGCAGCAGTGGTCACTGAGGTCCTCCAGCGAATAGCAATAGTTTGGGTCAAGCGGGAGTTAGAGGTGACTCTATGGGGAGGTTTCTCGGTTGTCCCGAAGGACTCAGGGGTTCTTGTCATAAGCTACTCACCCCGTATCTCTTTCCTGCTTAAAACCTTCCCATTGCCCTCATGTCAAGGGCAAACTCAGACCCAGAACCCTCAGCGCCTTCAGTGTCAGCACCTGCCTAGCTCTGCAGCCTTCCCTATGACACCTCTTATTCCCACCTTATTGATGAAGAGAGGGACAGAGTTTAAAGCCGTTGCCCGACTTCCCCTCCATCCTCAGCCCCAACTAAGACATCTGCTCCTGCAGAAGACTCTCCTCTCCCCCGGCCCCCCTTTTCTGGCACTCTGTGCCCCCCACACCCTGGGCACCGCCTGATGCTGCCATGCTGCACCCTGTCCCATGTCTATCTCCTGTGCCCACTGTCCTGTGAGCTCCTCGAGGCCAGGAGAGCCTCTGGCTAGTCTCTGTCCTGCCACATGTTAGGGTCTCACGGAGGCACATGGAAGAATAAAGGGGGCTAATCACCCCAGGGGTCACCAGTTTGGAGGCAGCTCTGACCATGGACTTGGTAGGAGCAACTCCTTGCTATCTTTGGGGTGCCTTGCCTCTCCTGCTCTTCCCTGTCCTGACTCTTGCCTTTTGGCGCACACAGCCTAGGGATCTGGACTCTTCCAGGGCTTGGCACCGGGAGGGCAGCTGCCTCAGGCAGGCGGTCCTTATCTCAGTAACGGTCCCAGCGCTCTGGGGTCCCCTGAGGTCAGCGCTCTTGGCTCTGTGGCTGTCTACACTGCAGCCCCACTGCACAGGTGATCTGAGGTCTCCGAGAACATCCGCTCTTCATGCTGAGTGTGAGCGCGCACTCACTGCCCGTGACCATGACCGCCCCTGGTGACGAGCTAAACGAGTTTGATGACTGGACTGGGAAGTTCTTCTCCCAGCTAACCTGAAGCTTGACTGCTTCTTTCTGGTGCACGGTGGTGGCTGAAATGCCCTCTTTTGCGTTGACCTTGGGTGAGAGGCCCTCTGAGGCAGCTAAGGGGGCTGCCCTCCCTCCTCACCACTGCCTCCTCTGCCCTCCCCAGCAGCCGAGACTCCCTTCATCCCATTGCCTTTGATCCTCACTTTAGAAGTTTCTTGGCGGGAGATAAAATATTAGTTGACTGGAAAACACACGCGCTACCATTCGCAGTGTATAAAGTAGGGATGTAACCAAATTTACTTTTAATTTGGCTGGGAACTGAACTCCACAGGCAGCGCTGGCTGATTTGAATTTCTACTACTAGCTGTAAACCGTGAACCAGCTGGGGTCCCATGGCTGGGGGTGGGGGTGTGGGGAGGAGCCTCACTGTCTCTCCGTGCTGATCCCAAAGCTGGAATCTGACTCATGCGCGCTCACACGTGTGCACGCTTGTGACCATGCCCCTTAACCATACATACACACCAGCACACACATGTGCACAGGTAAAAACCACCCCCACCCACCCTTCCCATCATGCACGCAGACACATAAGCGGCACACATGTGGAGTGCCCAGAGCTGGCACACGAGCAGACAGTGCACAGACAGACATGCACTCTGTTCATGCCCTTGCTCACGTAAGCACGAGGATGCAGAATGCATTGGTGTGAACACAAATATGTACCGGGCCCACAGTGCATATAGTGGCCACAGTGCATATATTGGTACACACGGTGCACACAAACGTTTGCATGATAGAGAAATTGCACCGATATTTACAACATGCACATGAAACAGATACCAAACACATACAAAGACAGACACAGAGCACACGCATGAGTTCACTCCATGCACACGCAAACACACGTGAGTCCACACGCATCCTATACCTCACCTGTGCTCACATGCACGCCCAAGTCCACACAGAGTTCTCTCACTCCCTCCCTCTCCCCTCCCCACCTGCCTCCTCTTTTCCCTGCTGATTTGTCAACCCTAACGCTCTGGCTGTTAAAAGGCCAGGTCTCCCCCACTGGTCCCCCCAAACTGGAGACCACGTGCCAGGTGGTCTCTACTTACTGTTTTTTGTGCCTCTTCTCTTCCCTTCTTTTGCTTTTTGGGCTAGAGGAGCTAAACAGGAAATGGCCAATTAATGGATGGTGCAAAATCCCAGTTTAAGAATAAAAAAGTAGCTAAGTTGCTCAACACACGGCTACTAGGTCCAGGCAGGTTTGCTATGCTGACCATTTTGGACACTGATCATTTCTAAGACCAGAGCAGGCACGGCTGATTTTTTCACCCAGCAGGTTGAGCCAGAGACCCAGAGGGTATCTGAGAATGGGCTGCTGAGGACGCCTTGGTCAACTTTGGTGGCTTAATAATAACAGTAGCAATACAGGTCATGAGACAGCTGCCCTCCTTCAAGGCTTTATTGTCAGTTGGGCACTCTGCTAAGTGTTTTTGTCAACAAACTCATTTAATAAGCACTTGTTTTACAGATGTAGAAACTGAGCCTCCAATGGTCCGAGAAACCTGCCCAGGATCACACAGGGGAGCTAGGGTGTGGTGCCGGGCCCTCAGTCCCCAGAGCCCAAGTTCTCGATATGACATACTCTGAAGCTTGCTGTCATCTGATAGATTCTGAAATGTTCTGCCCATAAATATCAGGTATCTGTTTCTGTTTTGTGCCTTTTTTTCAATCAGAAGATGGGTGTGGGTAGGATGGCCAATGACCAGGGGGAATGCCATCTGCTAGTTGAAGCCAGACTGGCTTCCGGGGGTCATCAACAACATGTTCATGGCCTGGGTCCTGGAAAGGGGATCTCTGATTCCAGCTCACAGCAATCCTGGCTTGACCTTAGCTGTGGGACCTCTCTCCAGGAGCCCAGGACTTCATTGGAAGATCCAAGTTCATGTCCCAGCTCACAGCCCGGGCTGTGTGACATCAGGCAAGTTGCCTGTGCCTTCGAAGACCTGGTTTCCTTGGCCAAGAAATGAGTGATTGCTCAGGCTGTGGGGCTGAATGCATGGATGACATTGACTGCTACCTGGGTGCTAACTGAATGAATGAAAGGGCTTTGCACATGCCACTGCTCCCCTCTTGGTGTGGCTATTATTTAAGGAGTTACCATAGGGGGCCCCATCCTCTATCTGATAGATTTGGTCTGAATGTTGGCTCTGCCACCTTCTGCCTGGTGTCTGTGGACAGGCCAGTCCTATCTGTTGTCTGAGTCTCAGTTTCTCCATTTGTAAAATGGGAATGATAAACATATTCACTCCACGGGGTTGCGATGGGGATTAACTAGGCCCACACAAGGAAAGGGCTTAGCACGGGGTCTAGAGTACAGCATGGGCCCCATGGGGAGGCGGGGGGGGGGTCTGAGTTTATTTGTGCTCTCCCAGTGTTTCCAGTGCAGTGGCCCTTGGCCTCTGTCCCAGGTCAGGATCTGGGAAGGTTTTGGGGGAGTTACTGGGGATCATGTTTCTCTACATGCCTCAACCCAAGATTTCAGCCAGTGGTCAAACAAAGAGTCTGGCAAGAGTAGCGAGACCTTCCAGGGAGGGGCAGTGGCGGCGGCTGGTGCCCGAGCAGCACCTGGCTGATGGATGGAAACCGAACTTGGAACTTTCAGGGGAACCAGCCTAGGCCTTCATTCTGGAGGCAACTGAGGCCCAGGTGATGAAGGGGTACACCCGAGAACACGGAGTTGGGGACTGACAGCTGATTCTAGAAACCGCCTCATGCCTGGTTGGGAAAGCAGAAAAGCTGAAGCCAGCAGCCAGAGGCGACAAGACTCTTACCTGTGCCTTCTCTTCTTGGAGAATGACCTGAATAAAGGGAAAAAAGCAAGAGAAAGGGGGAGGAGGGGATGGAAAGAGGGGGAGCAAGGGAAGGAGAAAGGGGTGGAGAGAGGGAAGGGAGAGGGAGGGAAGGAGAGGGAAGAAAATAAATCCAGGTGAGTTTCAGTCTCTCTTCCCAGGAGGCGTGCGTCAGTGCACGCACAGTCACGCCACAGGGGGCAGGGCCCTGGAGCCTCCCTCCCCCTCTCTTAGATGTCCAAGAACATGAAGATGATAGAAGAGACATTGCTTTGCATTCTGAGTTTGCAGGTGCAAGCCTACCAATGCGTCTTTCCTCACCTGGAGTTTTAGCAAACCTGTCCCAGGTAGAGGAGGGATGAGGGCGACATAAGAAAGAATCCTCTGCCCGCCCTCGTCCCCCGATCTCACTTTTATTTTTCCTCTCCCAAGATGTGGTTTCATGATCACGACCATCTGATCATATTTTCATGATCTTGGGACAACCAACTTCCCCAAAACCCCGTGGAGTACAACTAACAACCGATTTACAAAGCCAGGGAAGATCAGCAAAGCTAGGTAAGTTGCCCAGAGTCACACAGCTTCACCTCTGTGACTCCCACTCATTCTTCAGAGGGCCCCTCGGATGTCACTTTCTCCTTAGAGCATTTCCTGAATGCTGGGGCTGGTTGGGGGCCTCCTGTCTGCTCGTTCAAACCCTGGATGAGCTTCTGAGCTTGGTCTCAAGTCAACACAGACCTCTACCTGTTATAATTACATACTTTCTTACTAGAATATGAACAACTTGAGCACGGCGCCTAGGTTTCCATGACTGGGATCCAGGATCCTCATTCATGGCCCATATAACAGGGGTTCAAAAAACAGAGGTGAAAAGTGGGGATAAAACAATCTCAGTGCTTCCCCTACTCATAGCTCCTATCTCCAAAAAAATTCAACTGCCATTAACCAAGCATCTCAAGAACTTGGGGAAGTGGGTCAGGGGGTAGGGTGGCGCCCAGTAGTTGTGTGTGGCCATAGTTTCTCCCCACCCCAGTGAGCCCCTTAGTGAGCTCCCCTACCTCTAAAGCACCACCCCCAGAACAAGCCTGGCTGTAATCTTCTAGCACAGTTTCCCATGAGAAGAAACCCTTGAGGGATAAACCATTTGGCTACCCAAGCCCAGACACGGAAAAGCCTCCCCAACTGGGATGAATTGTTCAGCATGGGGAAGTGACAAGGTGACAGTCTACAGCCATGGCTGCTGCAGAGCAGAGGACTCCAGGCCAGGAAATGTTTCTAGCACCAAAGGAACATCACTTCCCTCATTGGTTTGCCCAAGTCTTGATGAAGTTCAGATTCAGATAGCATCATTTAGAATATCTGGGCAGGGCATGGACATAATGGGTGAAACCAAACTTAGTTGAGGCCATTCTGGCTCCAAGAGTTGAGATGTGAGCACACCCCTGGGAGATGCTACATGGGGGGAACTTTAAACCTGGGGTGAGATGCAGGGAGGAAATCTGAAAGAACTCCTAGGCTTTGTTCTATTGTGGTATTTTAATGGCACAAGTAATTCACAGATGATGTAGGAAAGTTGGAAGATACAGATTAGCACAGTCACCATAGCAAGTCATTTACACAGCCTTGTAAGCAGGTACAAGTGGGGAGTTAACTGAGTGAGGTCTAGGGTAGATCCCAAGTACCCACACCTTGTCTAAAGACTCGGCATCTGTCCCCTTAGCTCTGGCTAATGGTTGCTTGTGGGGAACTGATCCAGGGAGGGTGGGGCATCTTATTTTACAGAGGAACTGAAAACTTGATTTTTGTAGTGCAAAATCTCCCAAGTATAAACTGTTGGCTTGGTCTATGAGCCACAGATTTGAGTTCTTTGAGTATATTTTTCCATTTCCCCCTCCCCATACTCCTGTGTGTGAGTATAAGTATGAGTGCAGAGTGGGCTTGTGGTGTCCCTTCACTGCTGTCCCCAGTGGCCATGTTTTACAACATGATTCCACCCTCTAGGACACAGTTGGGCCAACAAGAGAGGTTTCTTCTTGGGAAGTTGGAATAAGGAGCAAGATATGGAGTCACTGTGGCTGGCCCTGTGGCAGGGAGTGGCGGGAACAGGCTGCAGCCCTGTGTTCCCAAATGGCCTAGGGAAGCAGGCATCCTGCTCACTGAGGCCTGGCTGCTCCCTGAGGCTCTTCTGTCTCCTTATCATCAAATCCCCCTTATGGATTGAGTTCTGTGCTGCAAACAGAGTTTTGCACGATGCAGGAAACAAATAACAGATGAGTATTTTACCTAAATGAGATGAACTTCCAAATGACCTTTTTGGGGCCAAGGCACTCCACCTCCCCCGGAGCATCCCTGTCTGCGGGGGTGGGGGGAGTTGGGGCAGAGGGGGCACCATACCTGCGGCGTTTATGTTTCTTAGAATTTTTCTTCTTCTTCTTCTTGACAGGCGATGGGCTATAGGATGGGGACCTGCCGGGGGAGGGGAGACACACTTCAGAGGAAAGATTTTTAAGGCCACAACGGTTTCAAAGAGACCCTTCTCCAGTCCCCAGATGGTCTCCAGCCTCCATACAGGGTATCAGCTCTTTCAGTAACACATGTTAAGGATAAAATCAATATTGATATTAGCTTAACATTTGTCTTAGCTGTTAGTGTGTGTTTTCTATACGTGATCTCATTCAATCCTTCCAAATAGTTGTTAGTAGGTACAACTGCTACCTTCCTTTTTCAGACAAAGAAAGTGAGAAGGTTTCAGAGAGGTGAGATGATTTGCCCAAAGACACACAGCCAGAAAGTAGATGAGCTGAGATGGAAAGAGAGACCTCTTTCTCCAAGGGCTTTGCTCTCAATTACTCATTACCTCATAGCTACCTTTCTGCTCAGGCCACACAGTGAACTTTTTGTCTGCTCTTCTCCTCAACCTATGCCCCTTCTCTTACATACTTCTGACCTCCCCTCTTCTTTATCCTCCTGTCTCCCTGGTGAGGTCAAGCCTCTGGAGGAGATCTGGTCGGGCTCTGGTCAGCATGAGTGGTACCATCAAGATTACCCAGACGCAGAGCCACCCTATAATTGTGACTTCAGCTGAGGTTCAAGTGACTCAAGACCAATAATTGTTCAAGACTCTATGACAAATAAAAGTTCAAGACTCTACCACAAACTCATGAAGCCACCTGAGTATGTCATTGCTCATCTCTGGGATTTTTATTTCCAAGGGACAAAATACCACGCTTGAAACAGACCAGAATTTGCAAACTCAGTGCCAGTAAGGGTGTCTTAGATAGCATAAGTGAATGAAGCAGGTTGGGTAAAAGGCAATAGGGGAGTGGAGGGGACTGAGGTGAACTAGAGATCACCTGACTGAAGGGGATGGTTGCTGCTCAAAGCACTTCCTCAGTGTGAAAGCAGACCTGGGCTTCCCGAGCACTTGCTTTCTTAGTAGTAGTCACCAGCAATCCATAGTTTCTATGTAATCTGTTTTTTAAATGTTGGTTACCAATTTTAAAAGACAATAAAAACACTTTGCAGGTCAAACAAAACATGTCTGTAGGGGGGAAATGCAGGGTTGAGAAAAACTTGATTCTTAGGGAATCATTGTGCCTGTCCCCAAACACATGCTCAGTGGATAGCGATTGATTGAATGAATGAGTGAAGCCTGATGCCAATGATTTCCTTCTTTATTCTGCTTACCTGTACAATTATGAAGCTCCAGTCACTTGTCCCCACCACTCACCCTACAAGGACTAGAATTCAAGGTTTTCATTCATATTCCCTTGTGATTCTTCTCTGAGCTTGCTCTCTTAAAGTTAGGCTAAAGGCGTATCTACAAATCAAGGTCACCCAAAAACCTAGAGTTGTAACCTTAATCATTCAGCTACTGCTCTCTGCTGCCCCCTGCAGGTTTTTTCAAATATTGCCTTCGAGGTTTGGTGTGATACTCAGTTGGCTCCCCTTTGGTAGGTGTGCCCATCCCTCTGGTCTGGGAGGACGTGTTTCTAGTCTAGTCCGTGGCAATTTAGAAGAAAATATGGAAATCTTTTTAAATATGAGGGGAAAAAAGAATTTTACATGTTAGATCTAAAAAGTTCTCATCACATGAAAACCATGTGATGTCACCTAAACTTATTGTGGTGATCACTTTGCAGTATACACAGATATCAAGTCTCTAGGCTGTACACCTTAAAGTAATATAATAGCAAGTGTGCCTCAATGAAACTGGGAAAAATAAAAATAAAATGGTGATAATAATGCTTGCCTGGCAGACTGTGGTCAAGGGTAAATGAGACCGTGGAGATCACAGAGCTCAGTTCAACCCACCACATGGAGTAAATTCTCAAAAAAATTTAATATTCATAGTCATGACTATGCTTCCAATTAATTGGTCATTTACTATTGCCAGGCACAGTGACAGCTGCTCCCATATCCATTTTCTCATCTAATTCTCACAAAACCCCAAGAGGTTGATATTAGCATCATTTTATAAAATTTGAAATAGGCACAGAGAGGTGAAGTGACTTGCCCAAGGTCACACAGCTAGTTAAGAGGCAGAGAGGGGATTGGGGCACAGGGGAAGTCACTGTTTGGTTCTGACGCTCATTTTAACCCTAGTTAGTCCTTTCCCTGAGTCAAGACTTCTTTTCCCCTGGGGGCCTCACCTCCTTCTCTTCTTCCTGGTGGATTTCTTCTTTTTCTTCTTCCCCCTGGAGGAGGGCGGTGGTGTCAAGTCTTTGTCATGGGAGGCACTGTGGGGAGCACACACTCAGCATTAGCAGACTCAGCGTTCCCCAAGCTCCCACCCAGACACTTGTAGCCAGGGAAGGACCTGGTGCCTCAGAGGTTGAGGGCATCATAGCAAATACCTAATTACCACCTCAAGGCTGATTCGGTCACACTTCAGATTAAGTGCCTCAAATAAGGAGTTAATGCCCATCTAATGAGACACACTCTGTATGTTACCCAAACACCAATTGATTATTTAAAACCGAGTTATAGAGGTTAACTGCTCCTTAATAGATTTATTATTGAATTTGCAAATGGTTCACCTTGGTAAATAAATCACTTTTTAAATAATTAATTGGCAGTTCAGCACCCTCCCTCCCAAATACTCTGTGTCTGTAGTTCCTGCTGGAAATTTAATAGGAGGCGGAAGGGATGTTAAGTAGCAGCTGATTATTAAAAGCATATTTGCCGAGGTCTAATGTAACGAGATACATATCTTATATCACCTTGCAGAACCTCAAAAACCTCCGCTCTTCAGGAATAATTATTTCCCGTTCAATTAAATTCAAATGCTCAGGCTGCAGTTAAATGAAGTCAAGTTATCTCCTTTTATAATTGGGGCAGGCTCCAGGGATTTTTTTTTTAAGCACTATCCCATGGCAAAAGGAGATGGTTTTGGATGAAAAACGGAATGGGAATTGAAACAGGACAACTCAGTTGAAACTTACTGGGAAAATATAATGTTAAGGATATTTTTATCATGATTAGTGACACAACTGTGATTTATTCATTGCTTAGGTGCCATTTTTTTTTTAAAGATACCTTCCTACTCACAAAAACACTTTGAAGGTATGATTTTTATAGTCCCATTTTACAGGTGAAGGACAGGAGGCTCAGAAGTTTGAATTTGCTTAGCCATGGCTGCACAGTACAGAAGCCTCTGAGCTGGGCTTTGAAACAAGCTCTGTGTTATTCCAACCTTGAATGCTTTCCCACACAACCAGAGACCTTCTCAAACTGGTTTGTGTAGCTGATCTTGTAGAAAGTATGTAACTCTTTACAGGACATTATAAAAAAAAAAGGTGCCATGATTGATTCTGTTCTAAGTATCTGCATTGTCAAGGTTAGAAGAAAAAAAAATCACAATGTGATTAGTATGTATGCTAAGGTTCCTGCGACTCCAATTAATAAAAACTATACAGTTCTATCTTGAACATTTTTGATAGTCAATACTAGGAAGTTCAAAATAAATTTCAGAGGGATTAAATACCTAATTGCTTAACTGTACTTAAATGCTATAAAGCACAAAGCACAGAACACATTCCAGGCAGCAAATAGCCTGCTTGTGAAAGCATGGAAAATGACTTTACAAATTTTTCCTTCAAGTATTTGACACAGAGTAAAAGAGTCTTAGAAATATTTGTCAAGTGACCAAATGAGAGATGAATGGATGAAATAACTTAACCATTTGTTAAATCTTGTTTTAGATAAACACTTCCCAGTGTAACAGTTGCCAGGAATTTGAGGGGAAAAAATTTAAGGGAGAGATGCTAAAGAAAAGGAAAAATCATTTAAAAGTGAGTCTTATAAAACAGGGGATTATTTCACTGTTTCAGGAATTACTTGCACTTCTGGAACCCAAACTTCTCAGGGGAGGCAGGTTTGAGAACCACTATCCCAGGCTCAAGGATGCATTAACATCAAGAAAGTCCTTGAATTGGGACAGAAGTCCAGGAGGGGGAATAGTCATCTCCTTCCATAAATCACACTTGCTTTTACCCAGGTGGGTCTGCATTTACTCCCTTTGCTCCTAGGTATGTCCTCAGAGAGGGCTGCAAGGGGCAGGAGTTAATAGGTTAAACACCCTCTAGTGACATAAGCAGCAGTTATATTTGTACTGGTGAAGTATGCAGTGGTTACATATACAGGAGTTCAGGACACAGGGGCCAAATAGGCCAATGCTGAGTATGTGTCCATGAAAAATGCAGGCTCTAGAAACGACACACCTGGATTTAAATTTAAATTTAAATTCCTGCTCTATCATTTCCTAGTTCAGCAGCCTCTCAACCTCATCAAAGGATAGAATTAAAACATGATACCTGTGCTACAAGTTTGATGTAAGAAATAAAGATGCTCACTCATACAACGTGCTCTGGTCTGACACAGATTAAGTTTACAGTAAATGGGGACCTCCCTGTGGCCTACGGGTTAAGTCTCAGCACTGTCATCACCATGACACGAGTTGGATCCCCGGCCAGGGAGCTGACCCACATAGGGCGCAGCAGACCTCTCCTGTCTCGCCCGCTACTCCCCTCAGCAGTGTACTTCGGTCAATGTGAATGTTCTGCTCTTTAATCTGTCTCTGGTGAATGTTCTCACCCCCCTGTACCTCTGGCCTACACCTCAGTTCTTCAACTAAAAAAAAAAAAAAAGTTTACAGTAAATGTAGCTTCTATTTTTATAATTACTGTGCTTTTCATTATCACCAGCACCATCACCATCATCCTTGTGGTTATTATCATGTCAGAGTGAGTCACAGATTAAAGAAGGAAGCAAGGGGTCCAGTTACTACATAATCAAGGTGACAATATAGCCTCATTTTTCATATTTTCATGTCCAAAATCTTCCCTTCTGGCTCTGATGAATATTTTAAGCACCTACTGTATAAGAAAAGACCCACTGTCAGGGTTTTTACATTCCTGGTCTGATATAATCATCACTGGACCTTTTTAACAGATTTTATATTCCCATTTTATGGTTGTGAAAGCTAAGATCCAGGTAGGAAAACCATCTTGCCCAAGGTCACTCAGTAAGTGCTGGCATCCAGGTTTGAAGGCAAATCTCCAGGACATACTAACTCCCCTTGGCTGTCTGGAGACAATGCTTTGCAAACAAACAAAAAAATTCTCCTACCCCTCCCCCCTTCATCTCACTTTCATCCCTAGGCCTCTGATGGAAACAAAGATTTTTCACCTGTCTCACCCCCACCCCTGCCCATTAGCTGCAGATCACTCTCCAGAGCTGAGGTTGAACTTCACTTCTTGCTGACAGGTCTTCACAGTTTCTCCCTCAACGAAATCACATCTAGGGAGTAACCCCTAGATGACAGACTGGAGGAGGGGCAGTCTTCATCCCTGAAATCTACTCTGGCTTCCCAAATCAATTCTTCAAAGATCAGATTCCTAATAGAAAGCCCTGTTCAGCCTCAGGGGTCTATGTATCTGACACGGAACGCAGAATCTGAGGTGTTCTCAAGCATATAGCTTTACCTGGAGGCAGCACTCAGAGCTGCCATCTCATTCTCAGATGGGTGCCCAGTGTGGCTTAGAATTTCTGCTTCAGTAAACCAGGATCAAGGAAAATATCTGATCAAATCTAGGATTTTCTAACTAATCCTGGCTCTGCAACCAATTGACCTCCATTTCTCTATCTGTAAAATAGCTTTGATTCAATGAAAGGAGGCAGGGGCTGTTTCTGGAGAGTTTTGCTGACAAGGGCACTAGATTAATTTTCTACCTGTTATGGGAGGGTAGATAGAGACGCAAGGCAGCAGAAGTGATAGATTAATTTGAGAACCAGGAATATGGCTTCCAACCAGCTGCTAGTGCTGGATTAATTAGACAATGCTGTAAATAGAATCAATTGTCCAGAGGCCAAAAATGGGCCAGGCTCTATATGTGTGTGGAACAGCATTTAAAAATAGAAATCAGGGGAATAGGTTGATCTTTTCACTAGCATCAATGGTCTAATGTGCTAGGTTTAGGTCTAGGATTTAAGATCAGAGAAAACAGAGTCTAAGACTTTACTCAACCCCTTCCTGGTTGCCATATTTTCAGTAGGTCACTTTACCTTTCCAGGCCTGGGTAGAATACATAGCCTTAGATGCCAATACAGCACCTGGGCACATAATAGCTGCTCAATTAAGTCCAGGTAGAGTGAATTAAGGAAAGAAAACAAAGACCTGGAACTTAGGAGATAGGTTAGGGTTGATGTCAAATTTGGGAACCAGTGGCTCATTGAGTCATTCAAATGGAGATAAACTAACTATCACTTAAGCAGAGTCAATAAACAGTGGCCAGGTGCCAACTCTAGTCTGTCCCCTGGTTTTATAGATGAATTTTACTGAAACCCAGCTAATGTTCATTGCTTACAAACTGTTCATCACTGATTTTGTGCTGCAATGGCAGGGTTGGGTAGTCAAGGCAGAGACTATCTGGCCCACAGACCTAAAATATTTGCTGTCTGGTCCGTTACAGAAGACATTTGCTGATTTTTGATTTGATTTAAGGGTCTGAAATAGGAACTTGCAAAAGGGAGGGTAAGTATGATCGGAGAGACAAACTTCACATCTACATCTTCCATTTGAGCATTTCCACTGGATTGAAGAGAGGGGATGGGGCAGCATCTCACCTGTGTGCTCTGGCAGGACTGAGCTCCCGGCAGGCCTTGTCTCTCTCCCAGCTGTTGGTGCCCACAGCCTCTGTGGCCAGATGCTGGCTCAGCTTTTCCGAGGGTCCATCCTGAGCTGGGACCATGGAGCTGCTCTGGGGCTCTGTCCTAGAGGGAGGAAATTATGAGGCAAAGTGTTAGAATCTGATAAAGACTCAAAGTTCATCAGACATTCATAGATATCTTAATATTTCCAACTTTCCAATGAAACCTGAGTGAAAGTGACATATATCATTTCTAGTTCAGGACAAGATTGGTAGAATTTCTCGTTTTCTCTTCTTCTGTCTCAGGGACTTTGGGAGCCACATTTTCAGAAAGTGAAGCTACTTGATGGAGGAGATTGACTTGGTGGAAGAGGAGAGATGCCTGAACCACATCAGATATTGCTTGATAAAAATAAGCCTTAGTTAACATAGGCTAGTGAGATTTGGGGGTTTATTTATCACTGCAGCATAGTTTAGTCTATCCTAACTAAATCATTAAGACTGGAAATCAGCATTTCACTACCTTTTCAAAACATCATTGCAGGCAAAAGCACATAGGATTTATTCAACCCAGTTCTCTACTTTATCTGTATATGGAACACTATACCTGCATTCTATCACTATCTTCACTAGAAGCTCTAGGACCTGGGACAGTCACTCAAACTCTCTGTTTCAGTTTCCTCAATTATAAAATAGGGGATAATATCTAGCTATACATTGTTGAGTTGTTGGAAGAGAAAATGAGATAATATATGCAAACAGAAAGATCTACAAGTTGTGAGTTCCCTCTCCCTTTATGTTTTTGTGAACCAAGCTTCCAATCCTTTTCCCACAAAGGTCTGAAATTGTCTCCTCCGCCTCTGACATTAGCCCCAAACAACTTTGGGAAATTATTTGAGTGCCTCCTTGCTTCTTTCATTCCAAGCTCTCAGGATGTTGGTGTCTGGCTACTCAGTCTTGAAAAAAACTGTTACTCAAATCTCCTGGCTCCTAACTGGGATGAGTCAGGAGTGAGAAACTGCAGGTGAATTTGGTACCACCCATGAAGTGTCACTCCCTGATCATCCTACCTACAGATCCCAGGTCAAGCATTGAGCAAAGACTTTAGCATTTCTTATGCACCCAGCTCCTGCCACCACTGCATCAAGATTGGTTTTATGACTCAGGATGAATGTAGCTGATAAGCCCCCAGCTCTTTAGGGATGCCGGGAGAGCAGGCCAAGTACAGTCAATATTTAAGTAAGTACAGCAAAATACATCCATCTCTGTCAGCCACTTACTGGTACATCTTTAGAAGCAGAGCTGGGAGTTACTGCAAGCCCTGGAGCAATGGAGACTTTAATCGGAGCTTTCCTGCCCTCCTCACTGTCAATTCCATGTTTCCAGAGCTCCACCACCTATACTGCTCAGCTTCAGTTTCCCTGCACTTCCCCGCCCCTCTTCTCCTACCAGGAAGGTTCCATTTCTAGTTCTTTGCTCTGGCCAGTCTATGTGGACTGCTGTCCTGACTAAGACAATTCAAGGCTTGCAGTATCTACCCAGTCCCCAGCAAGACTTGCCTCTTTCCTTACTTGTCCGAGCCTAGGCAAACCTGCATTCACTGACTCCCATTTCCTGAGTGCCTGCAATTTGTACAGGCCAGTTACAGGTATGGGGATGAAGTGAACAAGATGCGGATGTCTCCTGTGATCACAGAGTTTGCATTTTAGCTGGGAAAGCAGGCAATAAACACATAACCAAGTATGTAGTTTATTGGAAGGTAATAAGTTATAGAGAGAACAAATCAGTGTAACAGGCCTAAGGAGTAAGAGGGAGTGACTTTTGTTATTATTCTGTGTTTACTAATTAGAGAAGGCCTGAATGGAGAAATAACGGGAGTGAAGACTTGAAGGATTACAGCTAAGTTTGTAGTCTGTGGTAATTTTAAAATGTATTCAGATATTCTTTGATATTCTTGCCATCAAAAGATAGAGCTTAATTTTCCTCCCCTTGAATATTGGGTGGGCTTTAGTGACTCATTTTAACGATTAGAATGTAGCATGAGTTATAATGTGTGAGTTCCATGACGAAGTCACAAAGGCCACACTACCTCACTCTCTTGGACTAATCACTTCAAGGGAAGCTGGGCATTATGCTATGAGACACTCAAACATCCCTATGGAGAGGCTATGAAAAAAGAACTAAGACCTCCTGCCAAAAGGCATCACCAACCATCCACATGAGTGAATAACCTCGAAAGCTGGTCTCCCAGCCACAGTCAAGACTTCAGATGAGACTGCAGCCCTAGCTGACATCTGATTACAATCTTCTGAGAGCTGGTGAACCAGTCATCCAACCAAATTCCTGACTCACAGAAACTATGTGATATTCTACCCACTTACTCTTTTAGGCCACAAAGATTTGGGGCAATGTGTTGCCCAGTAATATATAATTTCTACACAGGTATCTGTGAGAAGAGGGAAGCATCTCCAGGCAAAAAGGAATGTGTATATAAGAGCAAGGAAGTGTATGAGAGGGGAGATAGAGATGAAGTCTTTGTAGGTTACTGGGAAGACCTGTGGGTTTTCTGATTGAGGCAGGAAGCTCTTGGAACAGAGGAGTCCTATGGTCTGCCTTACATTTGAGAAGGATCAGTCTCCTGGGCCAAGGAAGGTGGAAGGAAGGGCAGAGAAGAGACTACTGCTATATTCCAAACTCAGGTCAGGGTGACAGCAGGGGAGATGATGAGTTGCGGTCATAGTCTGATATACTTTGAAAGCAGAACTAGTATCATTTGCACCTGGTTAAATGTGGAAAGTAAGAGAATAAGAGAAATAGAGTAGATCAAGGAAGATGTGAAAGCTTTGAATCTGAGCAACTAGAAGGATGGAATAGTGCTGATGAGGTGTTGTAGGCAGTTGGCTTATGGGCAGACTTAATCTCTTTCCTAGTATATGACAGTCCCTTTACTGCAGCTTTTAATCATATGTTGTTGGCATTTCGTTGCCCATGTGATCCCTGGGAGTAGGGTCAAGTCTTACTGTCTCAGAGACCACTGTTTGACAAATGCTCAGCAACGTTTTTTCAGTGAATACACAAGAACACACATGCATTGGCTAAAGAGGACATCCATTTGTTTTTAAAAATTAGAGAGGATTTTTAAGATGGTCCAGACTTATCCCTTGTGTGACAGTTGGCAGAGATCACCCAGCCAAAGTCTTAGGCTACTCAGATGCACAATCAATGCCTTTTCTATTCTACCCTATATTTCTCTTAGGAAAATGATCAGTGAACTCATCTAAGAATGCATCTAGCCCAGCAGAGCCTTGAGTTAGACACACAAAGACGGACTCTTAGAATCTCTGCAACATTATAAAAAACAAAGTCTCAAATCTGTCCTGGAGGCAAACTCACAGTAGGCAAAACTGCCGGTTAAGGTGAAGAATTTGGGAATAAATAAAAACCCAGTGACATTGGGTGGAAGGTCTCAGAGAGTTGTATGCAGGGAGCAAGTAGAGGCAAGGGTCATCTGCAGTGGTTGTAATTGCCAGGCACTGGGGGACAAGGCTTGGGTGTAGGCAATGCTTCACCTATCACGCCAGCATCAGGGGTCAGAATCAAGGATGGGGAAATCGTAAGGATGTTTGGATGAGGAAAGGTATTGATATAATGGAGTTACTGATTCTAGATGACTCGGCACTCCCTGACGTGGTAGGCTGTTCTTTCCTCCAGTAGCCCTGGCCTCACCTTCCTAGTGTGGGGTACCCCACCTGGGATTTTACAATAAAGCAAACAAAAACGCCCCCCACAAAAAATGCTACTAGGGTGTGTCAGACAAAGGAATTTTCCAAGATATAATATAGCATTGAAGAATTTTTTGAAGACATGTTCCAACACTTTGCTTCTTAGCTTTCTTAAAACGGAAAGAGATGTACCAGGGTTACCTAAATCTGACACAGTCTCAGAAATTCTTCCCCATAGAAGCTTTTAAAACTATAGCTTCTTAGATCCTATTGTAGCCCTAGGGAATAAGTGAGTCTTGGATTTGCATCTTAAAATGAGGAAATCTGCATCTTAAAGAAACAACCCAGGTAATTCTGCTTCCTATTGGATTAAGAATAAAATCCAGGGCCTCCCCTGGTGGCTCCATGGTTGAGCACTGGGCTGCAAAGCTGCCTGCAGCCAGCACTGGTTGGATCCCCAGCTCAGGCAAGGGTCCCACATGGCGCGACAGACCTCTCCTGGCAGGCCCACTGCTCCCTTTGGCTCTGGTGAATTCTCTCACCCTCCCAGGCTTCTGACTGTACCCAGTGCTTGTATAAACAAACAAACAAACAAACAAACAAACAAACAAACAAACAAACAAACAAATAATTTTTTTTTTTTTTTTTTTTTAAAGAATAAAGTCCAAACTCTGTGAGCTCTGGAACCCACCTGCTGCTCCTCTCCCAGCCCTTCCTCTGCTGGAGTCAAACATCAAACGGCCTCTTTGCTGTTCCTCAGATGCAACAGGGTCTTTGCTCAGAGTCTGTGCTTTCTGTTCCCTCCACCCGGCATGCTGTTCCTCCAGTTCTTTCATTGGCCACCTCTGACCCTTTGTTCACACATCACTTTCCCAGAGAGACCCTCCCTGACCTTACATAATCTTGTTTCTCTCTTCCCTGCTCCCTCACTGAAGCCTGTCCTGCCTCCCTTTGCAGTTGTTACAATGGAAACGGTCACTTTATGATCATCTGCTAACAATTTGTTTTCTGGACCAGAATGTAAGCTTCTTGAGTGTGGGAATGAGGCTCCTTTTTCCTCACTGAATCCCAGGAATGTAGTGCCTGAGAGAGTATGCCTTTCTGATCAGTGCACATTGGATGGATAGACAGATGGATAAATGAATTCTGATGAGCCATCTCATGTGGGACCCACAGATCAGATTTAACCTGTGGGTCCCTTTCTTCCCTTACAAAGAAAGTCAGCAGAGGTCCAGGGAGGAGGGCCAGTCTGAGGTCACAAGCACTTTAAGGGACTCTGCCCTCTGCTATGGCATCCCTTCTCCATACCCGCACCCGACTTCCTTCCCTGCCTCCAGCTGTGCATCCTGGCAGGACTTCATGAAAAATCTTCTGCTCCATATCTGTTGAGGGACACTGGCAG